CGGCTCTCGGGAGCGGAGTAGAGGCAATGCGCCCGCTCTCGTGCTATTCCTTCAACTCGAGTGTGTGCGCTGTGCTGTGCTGTGCTGCGCTGCGCCTTTGGGTATGAGTCTTTTGCTCTCCATCCAATATGGATCGCGACGTCGAAACTCACTGACTTGTCCAGTCAAGCTAAGGTAGCCAACCCTCCAGTTGACTTGTCCGTTTCAGCGGAGCCCTTTTGGGGACTTGGCTTCCTTTCCCTCCCGAACCTCCGGTCTCCGTTGGAGCGTCCTGCTGCGACCGACCCATCTATCTACTCCTCTCCTACCGTCCACTCGCGATCCATCCGCTACTAGCGACATCTCCATTGCTCCAAAGGCGACCCTAGTTAGGCTAGGCGCTGGCGCCCAGCGGCCAACAACAATGGCCTCGCCCCAGGAGAATCCAGCCCAGCCCCTCACGCTCGTGCTGTCCTCTGACAGCTCTCTTTGTCTGGCCGCCTCGAGTGACCCTCACCTCCCATCCGAATGTAGGTGTGGGTATGAATGGATCCGTAGGGTCAAGTAGGAAAATAACGAACCTGTGGTCCCGGCTAGCTTGAGAACAAAGGGAAAATCTGTGAATGGCACACGCTCGCTCGGCGACATGGCAGCCAGCAGTTGTTGAGCGCCGCTCCAGACCTGCAGGTGCACACACACACACACACGCACACAACACGCGCACACACACATCCATATTCTCTCTCCCGCTCCCTCCCAATGGGGAGTATCAACTGCGCCCGGAGCTTGGCGGGGGTCCAGTGCGACTCTAGTTCAGGGCTTTTTGAACATCTTCCGGCCCAAACTGAAGGCGCAGATTTGACCATAAATCAACCTGTAACTCGGCGGCTCGTAGACCCAATGGTGATTCTACGCGCGAGAACGAACGGATTGGGCGGCAGCTGAATCTCAGCAGGCGCACAATGAGAAGCTGAGAGCTGTTGATCGAGGGCTCAGACAGCTCTGAGCTGATGGTTGCAATAAGCCATTGACAGCCAATCGCGCTGCTGTCATGGCCGGCCAAGCTCGGGGCCTGTCCTGATCATGCGTCAAGTTGAACCAGACGCGCAGAAGACCTTTCCTTTTACCGCCGTGAGTGAAGAGAGGCTTGCTGGATCTTGAAATAGAATCCAGGGGGTAAAACTAGGGCTGAAATGTACGTGCTTGCTTTATGCCATCTTGTGTCTTGGTTATTCCAGGTATTGAATGTTGGCAAAGACGTTGAGGCCATGTTCCTGTTGTGGGATTTTAGTGTGTCGGTTTTTTTGGACCCCCAAACTGGGCCAGCGCAAGGGGGTTCATCCGGTTCAACCAGCAATTTGTTGAAGAACAACCCGTCAAACATAATAGATATGCGCTGTATTGGTCTGTTAATGAGAGGATTGGATCAGAGCGACCTTGATTCAACCAAAAGGGGTTTTGCGCCGATGAGCCCTGGATCTGGAATTACCGTCATCTTCTCGAAGGACAATGAACCTAGATTGACGACCCTTGAGACAATGAAATCCAACTGCCAAGGGGCCCATCAAGCCTCGCCTTGCGCATGGTTCTCCAGGGGCGCTAGGAATAGCAGAGAGAGACCCTGTTCGTCTTCTAGATCCATTCCCTCATCTCAAGTTGAGCATTGCATCCATTGCGTGCGCTCGCTGACTCTCACATAACCCCTACCCTGGGGTTCGGTTCAGCAACCAACTTGTCATGATAACCCTCGCTCGACGCCTGGGCCCGGGCGATCAATTTCCCTGTCCATCGAGGAAGCCGCTGGGGGTTTCATCTTGATCGGGCCAGGCAGCGTTGAGACGGCTGGCTCGTGGCGCACAAGGTAGAGAGGCAAAAATGGGATCGAGGATTGGAGCTTGGCCACACGTTCTGGCTTGTTTTGTTTCAGTGTGAGGCCAGAATCCATCCATCCGCGCACGCCGTGGATGGAACCATGCGATCGATAGCTAGCACACGGCCATTCTCTCGGCCTGGAGAACTGCATTCTCTGGTTATCGAGTTTCCTCTTCTCTTGTCTCGCTCGTTCGCGCGCTCTGGAAGGCAGGTAGTTCTCCAGCTCATGGACGGACCCCTGTCAACCTTGGGCCTGCAAGACCCGGACGGCATCGGCGGGCGATGCATAACCTCAACTGGCATCATGGGACCCGTGACCAGCCTAGCCCAAGCTACGACCGTTCTGTGCATGCCACGGACGGGGCCATCCGGACCCTTGCCACGCGATGCGATTCACAGATGCGCAATGCGATGGATAGACAACTGCAGCGATGTCCCCTTTGCGCCCTTCTCGCAGGTTGAGCTGCGACTCTCTGCAAGAAGCTAACCCTCACCCGAGGATCGCGCTACTCAGCAGACAATGCGCCCATCATGTTTGCGCGTTCCCATGGATGATGGGGGTTCAGGTTGCATCCAAGGGAAGGATGCGATGCGCCCATCGACCATCAAGCATGACGCTTGCGCGCACGCTGTCACCGCCCCGCCCTATCCACGTTTGGATGCGCTGGCGCAAAAAACGCTGGTCAACAACAAAAACAAGATGCGACAGAAAAAAAGATGGAGAGCTCCGTTGGCCGAATCAGCGTCCGTCGCAGCCCAGCCGTGACTGAAGGAGCGCGTTGTGGTCTGGTCTCGTCTCATCTCCCTTTGTCTCGCCTCGCACTCTGTTCTGCGTCAAGCTCTGCCAGCTTGCGCGCCTAGACTGGAACTATCCGTGGCAAGCGAGATAGATAATAACTTCATGATCTCCAGTCTCCAGCCTCCAGTCCCAGTCACTCCGACTCCGACCGGGGCCCGGCTGATTTGCGATAATATGGATATGGACGGCCCATCAGTGGTGGATGGCATGGGACGTCGAGGACGCACAGAAGTTACGGTGTGTGCATCTGTGGCATATGCATGGCCCTTGTGCGCCTGTCCCGTCCAAGAATGTGATGGAGCTCGGCATTTGGTTGTTATTATAGGGACTCTCGCCAGACCTCATCATGGTCTCGGGTGTTTAAAGTCGAATTGCGCCCAGCCTCTTTCGCGAGATTGCGTCTCTCGCCTCATCTCTCGTCACAGCGCAGACTCGTCTGGCATGTGGCGGTCGCTAGATTTCCATGCCATGTAGTTCGGTGCGGTGCGGTGCAGTGGCTTGCCTGCGCAGGTACCTACTTATCAATGGATGCGCCCAGTGAACTCGCTCCATTGGCACCCGTTGGTCCCCGTCGCAGAATGCTGGGCGGGCACAGATTTGATCCAAAAGGCGCATATTGAACTGGTGATCACGATCGCCTTATTTGACGAGAAGCCGAGTTGGGCATCGAGTCCGATACAAGGCGTATTCGCGACAATCGACATGAGCTATCCGAGGCTGTGGCATTCTGCCCAGTCCTTGTCCATCAAGGGACAGGACATTTGCCTATTCGCCACTCTCGTGCTCCAGGGTTAGAGATCCATTGCGACAGACCACATGGAGCTGGTGCACCCTTTTAAACCCTCCTGTTCCTGATTCCGTGTTTCCCGCTAGTTGAGCATAAACTTCTGGAGCTAATAAAGCTTTCATTGACCTTGATAGCGTTCGGTTACTGTCAAAAGGCAATGCGCAATGCCGTGTTGGCTCGTTGAATCCTCATGTCTTAGCTTCCCAAGCTATCAAGGGCGCACACAGCCCCTCCCGCGGCCTGGATGGGTCGGGATTTGCGACAACCAGCAGATCGGGGAAACTGGGGAACGAGGGCGCGCCATCACTGTTGAATAGGATGTCGGCCGGATGATTCTGACGATGTTGCACCATCGCGCGGTTGGAAAGGTGAGATATGGTGGCGTAGAGCTGGGTTTAGTGCTGCTTGCGTGGCGGAATGTCTGAGGAGGGGCGATGCCATCCACCATTTCATGACGGGTGGACAGATCAGGGCGCTTATCGCAGTTTGTGCGAATTCCTCGCTCGTCTCCCTCAGCTGACTGTGCCGTGGATTGGGTCGAATAAAGAGACGTTCAGCGCTTCTTTAATTACTGCCGAGGTTGGATTCCGCAGATATAAAGTCCCCGCAGAGGCCGGATGAAACATTCAAGCTCGAATTCCAGAGCTCTCTTTTCTTGCAAAGCCGAGGGTATTTCGCCATCTGGCAGCCACCTAGTTCCCGCGCATGCAAATCAGATGTCTCGGTGGCCTTCAGAGACACTGCGGAGTCCGAGTTCCTTCCAAAACCGGCTTGCGACGAGGTCTCGGTAGCATCGTGACGTGCTAGATATCTTGAGCATTTGGAAGATGCCGTCAAGTTTGAGGCGTGCGATGGTCACGTGAGAGCGTGGTTAGATCGTGAAAATGCCCTGGTCATACGACGCGGTTGGTGCTGACCGACATTGAATGTCAACAGTGAAGCATTGCTCCACGCTGAAAAGACTTGAGAGGTCAAAAGTTTCCATGTGAATAAAAGCCACCGATCTCAATATTTTCACTGGTCTTGCCTCCTGAAATATGTCTCACAGAACTTGTCACCGACGTCAACGTCTTGAAGGCCGTTTGAAGTGAGACGCGACAAGAAACGGGATTATCCCGATAAGGCTTAACCCCGCTCAGATAGGCTTGGCGCGAACAGCTCGTCCCGAAATATCCATCGCCGTGACGACAGGAAGAACATAATGCACGGGCCAGCCCGCGGCCCGGACATCAGCACCGCGCTTCTGGGCCAAGCTGACAGAGCTTCCCTCCCTGCGCTAAGGCGCCTAAAATAATGTCGTGCCTGGGCGTCGCCGCCGCATAAATAAACAAACAAAATCTCATCTCAAGCAAAGAGTGGAGATTCCAAGGCGGCACACCAATCATAATCTCTGTTGTCAGCGACCTCTCGGCGGCCCAAGGCTCCTACACCGTTGCCCGTTGCCCGTTGCACGGCTACGGGTCTTGGATGCTTTTACCCAGATCCAACTTCTCGGGGCGCCTTTATTATCATGCCCTCGCCTCAACTTGTCTTGTCTATAATCTCTTCCTCACCATCCGGTCAAGCACCTCTTTTGGATCCTCTCCCTGGTCAACTAACCGGTCGCCGATCTAGACGGTAGACTTCATCGTCCCATCCGAGTCAAACCTACCCTGTCTAATCTCCCGGTCCAAGCCCCTTGGGTGCCCGAGCCCCTAATCTCGCGAACAGCCGCCGGACCCAAGCTACTACCTTTCTTCTTTCCTCTCAAGGAAAAAACAACAAACCACGACTTGTTTCGCTCAGCTTGACTGCAGTTCAATCATCAGCTCGTGGTTGAGGCGGCCTTACAGCAACGCGATTGTCGACTTGCGAAGTAGCTGATATCAAAGTTCAGTTCAAGCAAGGGAGAACAATCGCCCGCATTATCTGAACTTTATCACCATTCGAGAAACAGTACTGCATCTTACATGAACTCTCGACGCGCCAGAAGCAACTCCAACGACCGTCGGCTTCTTTGGCTCTAGAAGCTTGGCTCAATCAACAACACCAAGCGCGTGTAAATCACGCCGAACCATTTCCCGCATATATCCAACATCCTCTTTTTTAATCATCAACATGGACGCCAGGGTATGTTTTGATGCTCATGATTTTGCCCTTTGCTCCGCAGCCAGTTGGGTGTGGTGACTCAACAGCCACTCTCCCTTGCATACCAATGCAGGTCTGGGCAGCTTATGTGAGTTCCGTGCTAACGTTGCACCTCGATAGCCGTTCCGCCCAAGAGGCAACGAAAACGCACCCGATCTTCACCAACGGCACAAGTCAACCGGAAACCTGGCCACGATGGCCTCGGCGGTAGCAGGCGGCCTTCGCGGTCCCGCTAAGCGAGCTGCGTTTGGCGACGTCACGAACCTCAGCAAACAGACCGGCCACACACGCGACGAGAACAAAATCAAGATTCACACTTCCAACGGCACTACCCAAGGCCACGTAGCTGTTGCCATCAACAAGGAAAACGTCAACTACAGCAAGGGCGCATTTTCGCATCCAGCGCAAAGGCCCAGCTCCCACGCACTCACTTCTAGGCCTGCTCTCGAGAATAAGGCTTCCGACGCAAACAAGAAGCTCGGGCGCGGCGCCCAGGAGGCTGCGGGTCAAGGCTACACCAAGAAGTCCGTTCATGTAGTGTCCAAGGCTTCAACACTGTCATCGGCTCAAAACGCACCCGCCCTTCAGCCCCGTCACCACAAGAGTCAGCCCCAGCTCAAACAAAAACAACAACCCAACCTCCGACGCACTCAAAGCAAGCAGCTCGAAAAGGTCGTGCCTAAGCCCGATGCTGTCGAGACGGGTTACAAGAACACAAACACTGTGTCAATGCCCCTCCAAGAAGAATATCCTTACGATCACGCCGCCTACCTTGATTCTCTTTACCTCCCTATCGAAACTGGTGTTGACCTAGACGCGCTGCAGAAGGAAGAATTCCACGAGGCTGCCACCAAGCTTCCTGAGATCACCGAGGAAGAGCCTGTGGTTCCTGTCCTGTCTGAGGGTCCTGCCCCTGCCATGTCAGAGGCCGAGGAGTGCTGGGACGAAGAAGAAGAGGATTTTGACGACCAAGACCAAGCATACACAACGGCGCATTCTTTCCGTTCCCGCGATCTTACCGCTGGAGGAGCTACGACAATAGTGCCGCCGCGAGTGACTGCCCGCGTACAGCGTGAACTAGAAGAAGCTCGTGAAGAGGTCGAGCGCAACCGCACTGACGACGAGATCGAAGAGGAGCTTTGGGACGTCAGCATGGTTGCAGAGTACGGCGAGGAGATCTTCGAGTACATGCGGGAGCTGGAGGTACGTGACAAGGATTCGCGTCGCGAAGCGAACGAGCTAACCAATTGTGTAGATGAAGATGCTCCCCGACCCTCACTACATGGACATTCAGACAGAGATTCAGTGGTCAATGCGATCAGTCCTTATGGACTGGCTCGTGCAGGTGCACACTCGATTTTGCCTGCTTCCCGAGACCCTGTTCCTCACCGTCAACTACATCGATCGCTTCCTTTCTTCCAAGATCGTGTCAATCGGCAAGCTTCAGCTGGTCGGTGCCACCGCTATCTTCGTGGCCGCCAAGTATGAAGAGATTAACAGTCCATCGCTTGACGAGATTGTGTACATGGTCGACAATGGATATTCTGCCGAGGAGGTTCTCAAGGCGGAGCGATTCATGCTCAGCATGCTGAGCTTCGAGCTGGGCTGGCCCGGTCCGATGAGCTTCTTGCGACGTGTGAGCAAGGCTGACGACTATGACCTTGACACGCGAACTCTCGCCAAGTACTTCCTGGAGTTGACCATCATGGACGAGCGGTTCGTTGCCACACCGCCAAGCTTCCTCGCCGCCGGAGCGCACTGCCTTTCTCGACTCATTCTTAAGAAGGGTGACTGGGTAAGCTGAGATTGTCTCTCATACCGGAAGCTAAAGCTAACATGCAATTAGACTAAGCAGCATGTCCATTACTCGGGGTACACCTGGAGTCAGCTGAAGCCGTTGGTCACCATGATCATTGAGTGCTGTGATCAGCCTCACTTGCACCACGCGACAGTCTTTACGAAATACACAGACCGGCGGTACAAGGAGGCATCTTTGATGGTGCAAGCAGCCCTGGAGGCGGGATTTGCCCTCCCTCACCAGCTGCACCCCGTCCGAAGGGAACAGCCGCATGAAGCCTATCACGATAGCAGCGATGATTTGCAGTACAATCCTCACGGCCATCTCGTCCCTATCGAAGGATGAATATCGGCTACGGGGGAGAGGTCGGCACGTTGCGGTTGAGTACGGTAATGTGCACTGCAATGTGTGAGCAGCGTTCTGCATGGCGTCTGCACGACCTTATCGCGGCTCTTGTTCTCGATCCCATGGCAGCGATTGTGCCTCGGCGCAAACGTCGGCGTTGATGTTGAGAAAGTGTCGCAATTGCCGTTGCTTCGGCCGCTGTTTCTTGTTGTTGCCATTCGGCGCTCACCGTCGGAGCGATGCCGGCCCGGGTTCGTCTTGACCGTCCACGCCTCGAGACCCGGGCCGGGAAGCGGAGCCTTGACGACACTCTCCCCCAGCTTTGACAAGCCCCATTCCCCAGCCTTGGTCGCTCTCGGGCGTTTTTGTTTTTGCGTTAATCTCCTTCTCGGAGAAGGTGGTTCTTCTTGACAGCGACTTTTTAATAATATCAGGCTGGGGCTGGGCATGATTCGCGACACCAACAACACGGAAGAGGAAGACGATCCACAAGCTCCCCGACCTGACCCACCTTGGCTTCTCCCATGCCTACCGTTAGCCCTGTCTCAACCCCGGACTCTCGGGAATGTAAGGGAGAAAGGCTGGGTGAGACGGCGAGGGGAGAGGGATCGAGGGAATCTTTATGAAAGGACAACACTGTATAACGACTCTGGATGACTGTTACGAGTGCCACGACTTGCGATCTTTGCGTTTAGTCACTTTTTTCTTTTTCTTTTTTTTACTACATACCTACCGGTTGGCTGGTTTAATATGCTTCGGAATTCGGCGTTGCGGGAGAGGGACCTGTCCTCCCACACCCACACTGCAAGGTGTCGCAGAGTTGCAGCAGCATGTGGGAGATGACACTGGTGACCCGGGAGATGGACCATGGATCATGGATCGGGGGAGGGAAGGCGGCGGCGCATGGAATGATTGTGTTAAGGGACCGTGGGGGTGAAATCGGTTTTTTTTTGAGTGGTGGCCTTGGCTCTGCGTCCCCGGAAAAGGCGGGTGACAACAAGAAGCAGCAGCACACACGCACAAGGACCGCGATAGATGGGATCAACTAGGCTTGAGATCATGGTTGGTGAAGGGGCAGGTTGGCCGTCGTGATCTCGACCGATTTGGTCACCACCACCAAAAAAGACCGGAAAACACCAAACCACTGGTCTGGTCTGGCGCCCAGGTTGCATTTACAACATACGTAATTTAGACTCACTAGAGGGCCCTGGACGCGTGTATGATATCTAATCCTCAATTCTACTGCTGAATGAGCACAATCCTGCCTTGAACGTCTTATTGATGGTGTTGTGGCGTTTCAATGGCTGACTGCTATCTACAGATTGATATCATCGGAGACCTTGTCTCACATGGCCATGTCGAGATGGCACATCATCCCGCACACCACAACGCTCGCTCAGCTTTCTGAAGGCGGGCGTCAAGGATGGCCCGCATTGTAGGAGCCGGCCGGTTCCCTCCACTCTTTACTCGGCTGTGAAACCCGACCCGACGGTGAGAGATGGAGAGTCTGTAAGAGGTCGAGGCCATGTTACCGGTCCGATCTCGAACAAGAAAAAAACGTTGCTTTTTCCCAATCTATCGTACCTGTTCCATCTCGCAGATTTATGCTACCATCCCACGAGATTATATGTGTGTATCACGTCTTGACCACGATCTGATTAATAAAAACAAGGTCAGTTCTCAAAAGAGCCTCCCCCCTTCGACCCCGGGAAAGCTCCTCCAAACCCCGAGATTTCCCCACAAAGGAGATTCTCGTAAGCCATTGTCATGGCTGCGCACGTACTCTCTGATTGATTGCGCACGAGCTTTCTTCGCGTGGGTTGGTGGCCACAGGGGTTTGATGGGTGAAGATCTGATTCCAGGGGTGGGCAAGCAAAAAGATTCGCTAGCCGGGAATTTCCGGCACTCCGGACGGCCAAGGGGCCCCGGAGGTACTCGGCGCAAGTAGACTTGTGTACCTTTCTTCCTCTGACCCTGCGTACATACGTGACGCTAAACTCCCCGCAAAAAAAGGCAGAGAGGAACGACCAAAAGGTGAGAGAAAGCTGGTGTGGATACGGCAGGGCAAAAAAAGACCGCGGCCGGCAGGACCTGTGATAGGTGCGCGAGCGGTACTCCCGGTACTTGCGAGCTTGTACCGGGTCTACAAAGCACGGGGTGGTTACAGTCAAAATGACGGGAGCCCACGGTGAGAGTCGGCCTTCTCTCGCTTTTCACCTTGGATGGAAATGGTGAAAGCGAGGCACCTCGTGACCTGGGGGAGATCCATATTTGTCTGAAATGACCAGGTCGCCAGATGCCGCTAGAAAATCCCAACTAGGACATGTGACGTGTGGGAGATGGGCGCGGACAAGAAACTCGACTATCTTTCTGGAAACATGGGCATCGACATAACCCACGCCAAGCACAGACGACAAGCAAAACCCTCCGCGCCCCCGGATCTGGAGAACGGGAGCGAGGGAAAGGTGAGGGAGCAGAGCAGAGCAGAGGAATGGGGAAGGGGATCACCGTTGGCCGACTGCTCCACGCTTCTCTCTCGCTCGCAATCTACATGGCAATGCGCTACGGCCCAGCGGAACCGCGACAGTACAGCAAGCACCAGCACCATTTTTGACGCCCATGGGGATTGCTCCATATCCGCACGTCAGAAGGTCAAGGCTGGGGGACCCGGAGGGGTCGAGGACCCTGTCTCAGCCGCGCAAGTCCCATAGTAGGTAGTTCCGGACTTTGGTGTCGATTCGAGCAGAATATTTCTTCTTTTTCACTCAAGCTGTGCGACGTCGAGAGCTGCGCGACAAGGAGACTGGCAGCATGCGAGAGAGGTGGTTAGGTGCCGCTGCGGAAACGCGCCAGCAAATAAACGGCCTGGACCTTACTGAATGAAGCAGTAGGCGCTCCTCCGAACTCCGGCTGGGCGGGTCCGTCCCTTGGGGTCCGTCCCCACTCTGCGTATGCCACCCCGGGTCGGAGGGGGGTCGAGGGGTGGGAGGTATTCCCGGTGCTGAGGAAGACGAGACTTGGAGTTGGGCAGGAGACCAGTCCCGTCCAGTGGAGGGGTTTCATCTCGGTCTGGATCTGCTAGATCTGTGTGTATTCCGGACCGCGCGCTGCAGAGCCCGTATGCGGGTGATTTGAGTGGTTGATATTGGACTGTGGGTTAGCCTTTTTTTGAGGCTCAAGGTACGGGAGCAGCCTCCTTCTTCCTGCTGGGCTACGTACCCAGGTGCCGCCGGGATGTGCAAGCCAAGAGAGGTCCACTGCAAGATGAGATGTGCCAGTGTACACCCTTTTGCGTTTGGACATGTACCACAAGGTACCACCGCATCTTGCGTGCGTTGTCAGTTCACAGTTCCAGTGGGTGCCCTCAGAGACGGGCTGGTCTCCCTTTTGCACGTGGAGATGGCTTGGGGTTAAGTGAGGGCGGTCCCTGAGTGATGCCATGGTGGATGGTGACCTCCTGTCGACGCCGCGTGTCATGTACGGCGTGGTCATTGTCTCGAAAGGGGCAACTCCTACACAGAGGAAGCAATATTAAAAAAAGGGCCAATTCTCTTGCCGGTCGGCCAGACCCTCAATATCTCTCGAGAAAAGAAAGGAAAACCAGAGAAAACTGCGCGCCTCCAGCGGTTCAACTTATGTCCGTCCGCTGGTCCGGTGTTCGCTGACCGCCCACGCCCCACGTCTCCTTCCATCTCACTCGAACCCGGGCGGGCAGGTCGTCCGCGCTTCCAGCTTCCAGCTTCAGCGGCGGCGTTCGAGTTTACTGGAGGTTAGGTCCCCCAGTGGCAGCTGCAGCGAAGCGTGGGCGGGCAGTCCAGTCCACGGACGGGGACGGGGACAGGCAGGCGACACCGAAGGTACTTGGTCCCATGTACCTTTGTACCCCCGTACCCCCGTGCCTTTCCATCGTTCCTTCCACCTCCCACACCCCCGGACCAACCACCGGCCTGATAGCAAATTTATGCCAAAATCTTGCTGGTCCTCCTCCATCGTCGAAATTCCCAATTGACGCATCTCGTTCCTCTTCTTCCTCTTCCCCTTCGCTACATCGAATTGTCTCCGACATCCTCCCCCTGCCGCTGACTTTCGACTGTCAAGGGAATCATAATCCCCTTTCTCTTTCCTCTTTTCTTTCCTGCTTTGTGTGCGCTTTGCGTCGTGCTATAGAGAATTCCCTCTTTGAAGCCGGTTCTCGGACCATCCGCCTCACAGCGAAATCGAAACCGTCCTCCTTAGACCCTAAAGGAAGAACCCCCCTGGTCCTGACCTTTTGTTTATCGGTCCGCCTTGTCCGACTCTTCAATTGCTAGATACGCGATTCGAATCCTCTCGATACCCCATCCTTTACCCCTCCGATCGAATCATATACAACCATGTCCAAGCTCGCCGTGGCCACTGAGGCCGTCAAGGAGACCCTCGTTGGGACGCACGAGCCTGAGCAGCTCTCGGCCCACTCCAAGGCGCGCTTCATCAAGCATGCTGTCAAGGATGCCGAGAGTGGTGACCTCTTCCTGGGCCCGGATGAGTTCATCAACGCCGTTGCGCCCAAGGGCGAGGATTTCGTGAGTCACCACCACCCTCGCCAGCCTGGGCTTCTTTGAGGTCTGGATGTTTGCTTCTTGGGTTTGGCTAACCTCCAAATAGCACAAGATCTCCCGCGACCAGTACTCCATCCTCTTCAGCGTTGCTGACGCCAAGGGAGCCGGCAAGGTGAGCCTGGCCGACTGGGGTGTCTTTGAGAACCTCCTCAACAAGCCCGATGCCGAGTACCAGATCGCCTTCCGCCTCTTCGATGTTGAGCGAACCGGCTCTGTCAAGTATGACGACTTCCGCACCCTGTACGAGCTCAACAAGGGCCCCGAGAACATTGCCTTCGACTGGGACTCAGACTGGGCCAAGATCTACATTGGCAACAAGAAGCACCGCCACCCTCTCGACTACCAGCAATTCTCCCAGATGCTCCGCGGCCTCCAGGGCGAGCGCGTCCGACAAGCCTTCCA